TATCTGAACAATCGAATAGGCTAATACAAGCTTGATAGTTTAAATTGATTGAGCTTTTCGCACAAGGTGATAACTTTCTGAGCAGAGGAAGGGGTAGAATACTCTGAAACTGGGCGACTGGAGACACCGAAGAGAATGGTAGTGAGTGACTCGTTAGTACGGGCGTTCTCTTAGCATCGCGGAGTTTTATGTGTATGTATGTGTGTGCACAGTTAGACAACGTGCTCTATTGCGTAGACCATAAAGGTCCATCTTTCTTTTCCCCTCTTCCAAACGGGATCCCATCCCCTCTATCTTACCCATTCATACTCTGTGTATGTTGTGTGTGTGTGTGTGGTAAAATCCAGTTGGGTTGGGTTCAATGTATTTTACCGCTCTGGGATGATCACATTGACGGAGATAGAGAGTTCTTTTTGATACGTTTCTTTTGTTATTTGTTGCGGAATTGGATTTTGCATGAAGTTACAAGTCTCGTTGGCCGATTCCACTCACGTTTGCAGATTTCCAAGGAGCGGAAGGTAAGTTTGTTTTATCTCTCGTTATCTACGCCACTCTTCTTTGATAAATTGATATTTATTGGCATTAGTAGTTTACCATAATGCACACAATAAACTAGCATATGCATGCAGATTCGTGTACGCGGCCAGAAACGCCGTTGCACAGGGCTGACCACAACACCGTAAAGTTCCCATTTTGAATTTTGGTTTAGCCTAACGGAATGATACCCTTCAATTATTCACCTGAGTATGCCGTTTAAAAGGAATACATGGACATTGTGCTGTCACGCCTTAGCAGACTGAAATTCCTCGGTAACTTAGTTTCGATGACTATGCGCATGATATGAGCAGAACACGGCTACGGGCAGCAGATCAAAGTCCAATATTGTATCAATGTTTATCAACAGTGGTAATAATCGTGGTTCTAAAATCATGCAGTAATAATAAAGAGAAAAAGTAACTTACAGTCAGGTGAGCAAAAAATTACAGGGCAGCAGTACAGTTCGTGATAGCAATGGTAGGAACAAGGTCTACCCGGTAGACAGCTAAGCTTAACAGAAGCGCAGTAGTACAGTTCAAATGAGGGAGCGATTGCGGTACAGTATGGAAAAGGCTTATAATACATTTAGTTCCGGAATACAACGACAGAGAAGGGAAATAACAATGGATTCGGGTGAAATTTAGTAAATGCTAGCAAGTCAAAATACGATACAATGAGGCGTTTTTATTCAAAGGTATGCGTATCAGAGGGTAGCATTGAAAAAGCAGTAAAAAATCCATCGGAAAGTGCGTGTGATTTAGAGGTGATGTGTGTGTGTTGACCACGGGGTGGTCTGCTATTCGAGCCCCGCTGGCGACAGGATTTACTCGCAGAACAAGCGCTCAGTAAAATTTTATGCCAATGGGAAAATACAAGCTTATGAATAAACAGTTAGAAATCACAGTATTCAAGGTCCGGTAAATACGCTGGCAGAATATATAAATTTCATGAATATAGACGTTGCGGGATGCACAAAATGCGAAAGTCTAACTTTGGGGATATAAACGCTATATACTACTCATGAGTAGTCTAACGGACACAGGGGACGAGAAATCTAGATACGAATAGTAATTAACAGCCATGCTTGTCGAATTAATCGAACGGGACAATGGTTTCTCAGTCGTCGATAACATATACATGCCCAATATTGCCAATCTGGGATGTCCAACCGATATTCCCCGTCAACCTATTAGAGCACCAGACAAATAGAATAGCATGCAAATTGATCATGCATTCGAAAACAAGCATAACTCAGCATATGAGTGGGGAATGTTAGAGACAAATACTTCGAATATCAATGATTTCTTGGTCTATTTGGAATTTTTGGAAATATTTGTGATAAGCAATAAAGAGCACCGGACAGCTGTTTCGTCTTGTTCGGGACTCGTCAGCAGTGCGTACGTTTTGTCTCCCTGTCGGGACTCGAACCGCGACCATTCGGGTTGGGACTTAAAACTCTTACCATTGAGCTAAGCGGTTGACGCCATCGCCTTGTGCGAATGGCTCAATCAATTTAGAGGGTAACTGTCTGGATTAGCCCATCTGGTTTTTCACAGGTGATGTGTCCGGGTTTCAAATCCCGGATGGGACGATGGATATGCACTACTGATGAGCTCTCGTCAGAGCGAAACTCGAGTCTAATGCTTCTGAGTGTATCCTTGAGTCGATGAACTGAGGATTGTGCGCGAGAGTTAAGTTCGAAAGATAGTCAATTCAAATCAATCAAGTTCAAGTGAATCCAACCGATCGTTGGTGACTATAGAGCAGCATAAAGCAGCATAAATTGCATAAAGCTACTACTGACTTGACTTGACTTGACTTGACTTGAGCAGTTGAGTTATAATCTGAAAAGGGTTGTCTTCAACCGCTCAGCTGAGTGGGTCGGGGTGGAGGTGGACGAATAGCCCCCTCCACCCTGCACCGCTGAAACTTTCATCCTCGCTCGGTAGCTCACTCAAGAAGTACTTTTGTTTGTTTTCGGAGAAGTGAGTTTATTTGGACTGGACGGTATTTAGATAGACCCGGTCTAATTGGTGACGTTTGACGATCGAAACACCAATCATCTTGTGGAGTTCACATTGGAATGTGATTATTTGGGTTTACTTGAAGTTCCAACGGATTAATTTGGAGTTAGAATGGTATAGTACCACCAGCTCACTTCACAATCGATTTCATTCAAAAATTGAAACTTACACTAAATGCCTCTAAAAGACGACCACTTATAGAATACAATGAGTTGTCTTCCCAAATCCAAAATCACAAGTTGGGTTGATATTTTTCGTCGAGCTGATTAACTTGCTTTGCTGCATTTATTCGACATTTAGTTGCGTTGCACGTGTTGAAAATACGAAGATGGTTGCATCTGATTCATAGGATTCAGCGTTGTTTGAGAGAATCACGGCCTCCGATGGAATTTACTCACTAGGAGTTTGTGGGCCTATCCATGCAATAAATTATAATCAGATTGACGCATGAGCATGGTGACCAATTCGTAGAACAATCTTCATGTGATTCGCTTCTTTACCCGACCGACAGAAGTCAATTATCGGCGGATTTGTTCATTCGCGGCTATGACTCATACCCGATCAACGCAACAAGTAAACTGAGACCGGGTCAAATGGAGGACTTGAACCATATTTAGAGGAACACTTAATTCGAGTCCAAAAGGGAGAAGGCCTATCACTTTTAAACGATGGAAAATCAGTGCCACACTAGTTGATTTGAAGAGAAATAGAAGTTAAATCAACTCTTAAGTATAAATCCCTTATTCAGAGGAATCCATATACATATATATATATGCACTCTTCCACAACTGGCCCTAATTCACCACTAGCAGAAGCGGCAGCAACAACAACATGCGAAAACGCATGAGGGAGATAAAAGCACACCGGATCACTGCTAAACGAACGGATTGTATCGCAGTGCAATGAAGAGGAAAGTAAGCAAGTACACTGGAAGAGGACCTGCAAACAATTATTCAACGTGGGTTGTACAACATGCCATTATTGCCGTCTGTATGAGACGCGTTCTTGACTCGTTCATGCACTGGTTTGGACCATTCAGATAGGTTTTAGTGTTATAAAGATGCTTGTGATTTGCTCAAATTTTTACCAGTTTAAAATTAAACAAAACCGGGAAAATTCCATACCACTCCGTTTTGCTAAACATTCCACTCTTTCCCTGCACCTGATCATACTTTCTCTAAAGTCGTATATGGTAATATCTTTACATTATTTTATATTACAACTGGTTTTGATTCCTCTAGATGAAATCTGTTGTTGCTAATGTTGGAACATGGTAATATTCACACTCACGAACTCGAAAAACGTAGATTCAATCAGCATTTTTTTCACTCGATGATGTTCTCTCTTCACTGGCCGAAATATTTCTCTATAATCATTCCAGTTTTAAATTCCAGGGATAAAGATTGGTTTGGTTTTAGGTTCTATATCTACGGTCACTGGCGCGCACAACACGGCTGTGTCATCTGGGACAAAGTTTGTTTTTTTTCGACACTCGACGCCAACATACGACTTGAAGTTCCATAAGTAATAAAATATTACGTCGGTTTTCATTCCATCCCATTTATAGTCTACCGAAGAGTCGATGATATAATCTGTAAGTTTTAAATGAATTATGAATTTCGCTGGGATTGAAATTTTTCTGATTGACTGAAAAAGCTGTCATCTGACACACGATCAACGCATCATTCCTGATTTCGAACAGTTTGTTACGGTCGATAACGGGATATGGATAACAACCGAGGTAGTACAGGGAGAGAGAGAACGCGCGCGTAATTGTAATGGAATCAGTTATATTTTTATATCACTGTATAATTATTCATTTTTCAAGGGTGTGGAATCAGACAATCAACAAATTGTCAAGCGGTGGTTGACATGATCGCTGCATTGTGGTACGAACGCCAGATAGCCGGGGCCAGTGACATAGTAACCCTGTACTTACTGAACAGAGCCGCATTTCAGTTGACTTCAAAATTTTGATACTCTGAACTGAACGTGATCTGGTTTTATCCCGTACAAATTCGCTGGCAGTAAGAGTTTACATATTGACCTCATGAGGATGTTCACATTGTTTGGGAGTTTAACTGTGCCTTTGGTGATTATAACGTATCACAGTTCAACATAAATGATAGTTCATTGTGCTTCAATGTCCATCTATGGAGGTCACTGGATGTGGCCACCATTGAGATAGCTGAATTGGTAAATGTGCACTTCAAGAGCAGTGACTGACAGATGACTTCATTCTCATATTCACACTAACAATTCCAGTTGATTGTAAAGTTTAATGTTGTTGTCTGCTTAAATATCAACGAATCATCGCACACACAAACACACACACAGAGGCAAGTGGTTCGGATTAACACGTCGTTCGGCAATCAACGATTAAATCGGGAACTGTCTTGCAGCTGACCATGATCCATTGAGTCTACTGAGATATCTTGTATGGACTACTACTACTACTACTACTACTACTACTACTACTACTACTACTACTACTACTACTACTACTACTACTACTACTACTACTACTACTACTACTACTACTACTACTACTACTACTACTACTTATTACTACTACTACTACTACTACTACTACTTCTACTACTACTAAGAACAACGACAACAATAAAAACGAAAGAAACGAAACAAAAAACAAAGTGAATTTGTATCCTGATGGAACTTCGCTGGATGCACCATAGATTTTACCTGTAATCTACAAGTTAGCACCTTTTTCACCGCCTGTACACTTGACTACTAACTTAGTGACTGATCCCAACCGTTTAGTATTACTGAGATATCTTTTCGTTGCACTGGTTCTGGACGGTGTGTAGTTTCATCCTCTGTAAAAGTTCATTGAGTCACAGTATATCTATATCAGAGCACAGCACAAGGGACTCCGGTTGAGAAAAAATATAACCTGAGACTGAATCACGATAAGAGCATCCGTGGTTTGCCGTCTTTCCGGAGTCCAGACATGATATGTGGAACAGAATAAACCCCATAGTCCTTTCGTGGGCAATTGGACCCTTCAAATTTGAACCCTGTATAATGGATCTCCTCGGACTGAGCTATTCCCGTAAGTATATGACTGCAACATCGTTGTCTCAGATATGGTGTATTCGTCCCAAAAGCATAATCACAACGAGTGCCTCTTAGACTAAAAACAGTAAATGCGGAAGGGAGAATACAGACGGCGAAGGATAGTCTGAGTTTATCATGTATACACAGCAAGACACGGGTATACAAAGCGCAAAATGGAGCACTCGAGGTTACAATAACGCACCAATCAGATTGCGCAATTGACTCTTCGATTGGTTGATCGAAAAATCGTTGCCTGATTCGTTCTACAGTCATCCAATCCGGACTCGATTTGCCCTTGACTCTGCGAGGACGCTTGCGGCCAATCGTTGTTCGTTCCGTGGCCAGATGAATTCTGTAGATTGCACCCTAACCGGAAAATCTTACACAAACTTTTCCCATCAACTTCAGTGATTGTGTTTTATTATTGCTCAACACTACTATGCATGAGCAGTCCCATATCTCTCTCTTTGTCAACCTTAACTTGGCTGATTACCCGGGATGTATTGTCTAACGTGATTCGATGAAACAAATAAAACGTGTGCATTTCTTCAGTCACGATCGATTGGAGTTTGCCAGGCGGTAAACAATCATCATAGAACAGTGAAATCGTCCATTGGGTGAAAAACGGGAATCGGACGACTCTGGCCTGCTTCTTTTATTACACACTTTCGTGTGATGAACAGCAGACAGGGTGGACCCCATGGTCACGAGGACCTGCGGTTTATTGACGGAAACCGGTTACCTAAACCCCGGGACTTGGAGTAGTGAACCACACAAGGCCCCGATAGGTTAGGCGTGGTATTGAACCGGACGATAGCCAAGCTGCCTACCACAAAAGTTGGGTGGCGTTGGTGGGGCTCAAACATCGAACCATATGGTCCAAAACACGCTTGTGACAGCGACTAAAGCACTGTGCCACCATCACCCAGGTGGCATCCAGTTTCGTGATTTTTTCGACTGAAGTGTTCTGAACGCTCCAACAGATTTTTTTTCTTGAAGAATTTTATGGGTATGGAAAGGATTAAAACAACCAAATTTGTTTCCTACCCAAGACCCACATGAAGAAAGGTCCCCTTGAGATGCTAAATCTCAAGTCGCACTACAGTCCATCAGAATCAAGCCAACCCAGAACAGGATTCAGACGAAGTCCAGACAGAGCAATTCAATAACATTTATTGAGATTTGAAATGTTGTGGCAACCAAGTGTATAGGATCTGTTTTGGTTTTTTATCAGGCCGGTCCCGTTTCCAAACGGACAGCATGAGACCAACAGCTGATTTGTTTATTTCTTTCGAAGATGCATTTTTCACGATTTACGTACACCCCATGCTTTTCGTTATTTATTGCATTAATCATGCATGCGGTTATCCATTTCATCCGTTTCAGACAATCGATGTGGTGCGGAAATGTTCGAGAATGGAGTGTACATTTGCGATAATTGCATCGAGGCGCAGAACATATCGGAAGTCCGATGTCACTATTTCCTTGAGACGAACAATGGTGGCCAAATGCAGATAGAAGTAAATGTAATCCACGTAAGTAATCATCAGAACTCACTTCATCCTGACTCGCCTATCGTGATTCTATTGCTTCCGCTTGGAATATTACTTGATTGAGATATTAGCGGATTGAAAAAGACATTTCCGGATACACAAAACGTTTTATTAAATAAGCATTACATTTTCTCGAAGTATTCCATCGTATACCACTGTTCATACATACAGTTCCATGAGCTCAAATCAGCTGGTAAAACAACTTGACCATGTCGATGCGGATAACCCGTCGACCAGTTCAATAAAGGTTTACATTGCAGATGTTGATGACTCGTATCGGATTGCACGCATCATGTACTTGAAATTTGGGAACACAGTGTTTTTTTATTGCACACTTTCGTGCGATGAACAGCAGATGGGGCAAGCCCCATAGGAAATGCCTCACGCAAAGGATGAACACTCTGTTGCCTCTTTAAACCTCATTTGTGGTCGAAGGAAGTCATCGCCCTCCAGTCACCTCGACTGAGTTCCATCCTTACGGTCAGAGTATGGCGACCCTTGAGACTTGTAAGCTGTGCTTGGCTGTGGATATTTGGTTCTATGAGTTGCAATCATTAAACGATATTCACAATAACTTACAGTTCTTCGCACACTAGGCGACGATGAAGACCGTTCAATAGGCCAGTGAGGGGTAGGTGCTGTAATCAGTAACAGGGCTGAGTCCTCTCTTATCGATTGGATCCCCATCTATAGCCGCTTATGTGCGATGCGGCTTCAAAGGTCTATCAGCGTCCAGAGGGAAGCAACATCAAAAGGCGTTTTTTCATCATTTCAGCGTATGCCCTGCCAACAAACAGCTAACGGCTATCGACTTCTTCGGCTTTGCGCATCCCATCGTTTGTTTCTTACCAGCAGCAACTTTCGACACAGCTCTCGACGAACGGTAACGTGGCGCTCCAATTTAACTGGTACGCTAACTCAAATCGACCGCATTAAGCTACGGTTGGCCTGGCTCAGTGCAAAATTACGGGTCCTGTTGGAAAACGTGTGTTGAGTCTGACCACGCATTAGTTTTGATGGAGTTCACTCTTGACAAACAGTTAAAAATTGGCTCTTATTTCACAAAGACTGATGATGTCAACTCGGCTGGTGATAAAACGTTTGCAAACAAATTGTCCGTCTCGGCGAACAGGTGAAATGGAATGCAGCTTACTCTTTGACTGAATGGCCGGCGACAAAACCAGCAAAATCGGATAGATCATCATTGACTGCCTGTTCCAGCAGTCCGTGCCAGGTATGAGTCAGAGCTAATGCATGAGCTTAGCGCACCTCAACCTGATGATGTAGATGAGCAGTGGGATCGCATTAGGCAAGCAATGCATTACGCAGCGAATTTTTCTTGTGGGTCTGATCGGAGGCATTGGATAAATCGTGATGGATAAAGAACGACAAATCACGACCTGCCAGGATCAAAACAGAGTTAGGTAGCATCTAAAAAGTCAGTTTATGAAGAGCCTCAAGAAGGACCGTGAAAACTGGTGAGAAACAATAGCTCATGAAATGGAAGTAGCAGTTGAATCAGGGAATAGTCCGACTGTTCCGATTGATACGCAATAGGAGGGGGGGGGCAAACTGTAGTTAGTGAAACAGTCTGCGATAAGAAGGGACAAGCTGTTCACAATACGAATGAGCGACTTGATCGCTGAACGGAATACTTCAGCGAACAGTTCAGCTGGCCTGGCGCTAACCAGGTTTTCTCATCTGTAACTGAAGCTCCGTGGGCAGTGTCATGCGATCCTCCAGCAGAAACAGACGTTTGGTATTGCATTTAAGCTCTGAAGCGAGAAAATGCAGTAGGATCGAGTGAGATGCCTCCCACTATTTTCAAGATACGGGTGATAATCTCATGAGCTCTATTACTGTCCTACTGCGCAACCTTGGGACGCAAGAGCGCATTCCATCATCCTGGAATGAATCACTGATCGTTCCCATTTTTAAGAAAGGATCTCACAGCGATTGCGAAAATCACCACAGTATAAGTTTGATCCTGATCGTTACCAAAATTCCAGCCTCAGTTATACTTAGACGTTTGAATCCTTTTAGAGAGATCAACATCCGTGAACAGTAGGCCGGATGTACTGATCGAACTTTGACGTTGCATCAGGTCTTTGAGCTGCGTCACACCCACTGTAAACCAACAATCGCCATGTTTCTTGACCTAAAAGAGCCTTCGACTCAATTGATCGTGGAGCTCTAGTGGATTTACTTCTTTGAAAAGGACTGCTCCAGATGTACGTTAACTGAGTGAGGTTACTGTACTCCCATACCTCTGGTTGAGTGAGGTTTTACAACGAACTAATTAGACCGTTCGTCACGAGCAGCGGTGTTTGTCAAGGGTGCCCCCTCTCACCGTTCTCGTCCGATTTTGTCGGAGACGAAATACAGGAGATCCCAATTAGTGGTCTCCAGAACATGGGTATTGAATGAACAGCCGGGGAAAAGCTGTGCGATTTGGAGAGCGCCGATGGCATTGTCTGTTTTTTTGAATGTACAGAGGACTCGCAAAGCGCACTTGATAGACAAACAAAGGCTATTGCGACGTTCGGTATGTGCTTTGCACCTTCAAAGTGCAAAGTGATGCTGTAGGACTGGGTTTCGTCTTATCCCGCTCTAAAACTAAATGGCCAGGATTTAGTTATGGTGGATTAATTTTCCTACTTAGTTAGCCGCGTGACCAATGACGGTAGCTTAGCAAAGGAGATAACTGCTCATTGATATTCGATAGTTTTGTTCTATATTTTTGTATCTAATCGGAGTGACAATTGTGATTTAAGGGTTATCATTATTATTATTATTATTACTATTATTATTATACATAGTGTTTCCATTATCCCGTAAATTAAACTAATGATTTTTTATCAAGAAGACAGATTTTTCTCATTCCCAATATTACATTTTACCATAAATTTAAATCTGATATGCGTACAATCGATATATCACATCCGGATTAAAGTTATTCATTATTATGCTTGCATTGTTCTTTTTTCTCATCACTACCTGTAGTTCGAGAGCCGTTCCACATTACCT